GTGTGTCCGTGTGCGTGTGTCGGTGTGTGTGTATGCTCATAACTGTGTGTGTGTTTGTGTGTATCTGCTCATATCCGTGTGTGTGTTTGTGTGTGTCTCCTCATATATGTGTGTGTTTGTGTATGTGTGTTGGTGTGTGTGTCTGCCCCTACATGTTAGTGTATGTTTGTATGTGTGTTTGTGTGTGTGTGTGCTGCTCATCTGTGTGTATTTGTGTGTCCGCTCATACCCGTGTGTGTGTTTGTGTGTGTCTCATCATAATGTGTGTGTTTGTATGTGTGTATATATCGGTGTATGAATACCGTGAACTGGTGTCGCGAATAGAATAGACCTTTTAATCATCACCATTATTATCGTTATCATTGATATGTTTAAGATAAGCGTAATACCTGCCTCTGTTATCAACACTATTTAACACACATTCAAGTTATCATCATCGTTATTTCTGGTGCTGTTGCTGTTACTTCATTAGTCCCTAATTAGTATGATATGATCGCCAATTTCATGATAATCATTATCATCATCATCAGCAGCATTATATTATCACCATCGCTATCATCGCCATTAGCATCGCCGTCAGTATCACCATCATCATCATGACTATCATTTTCTTCATCATTATCACTATCATCATCATCACCATCATCATTTACTTCATGTATATCACCACCATCGGATATCACCACCACTGACCATTATTATCATCACCATCACACACACACACACACGCATATATATACAGACAGAGAGAGGGGGGAGGGAGGAGGAGAGAGAGAGAGAGAGAGAGAGAGAGAGAGAGAGAGAGAGAGAGAGAGAGAGAGAGAGAGAGAGAGAGAGAGAGAGAGAGAGAGAGAGAGAGAGAGAGAGAGAGAGAGAGAGAGAGAGAGAGAGAGAGAGAGAGAGAGAGAGAGAGAGAGAGAGAGAGAGAGAGAGAGAGAGAGAGAGAGAGAGAGAGAGAGAGAGAGAGAGAGAGAGAGAGAGAGAGAGAGAGAGAGAGAGAGAAAGAGAGAGAGAGGTTATTATTATCATCATTATTTTTGTTACTATTATTGCTATGATTATTATGATCAGTATCATTATCATCATTATTTGTATATTCTTTATCATTATCATCATTATTCATTCATATCATGATTACTATCATTGATATTCCTCCTATTATTATAATTATAAGGCATTGATTTTTATATATTTGTGTGATATTCATTCTCGTTCAACAGAATCAGCACCTTTCTTCGAAATTCACCAAGATGAATATTGTATGACTTTAGGAATAGGCATCTCCGCCCTCTCTATACATATGCTAATGGTTCACATATAAAATGTTTAAGAAGATAAAAAGCCACTTAAAGTTAAAGTCACACGAAAAGGAGAGACAGGGAGATAGAAGATTAAAATGGATCCTGATAAACAACTTTCCGAAATATCCAATGCCCGGTTAGTTCTCTACAGCTTTCATAATGAAATGGCGCTTTGTTCATATTTTTACATGTTATTCTATCTACTCCCTTATATATTTTGAAACTAGGTGACCCTGCTCTTCGAAAGCTCGTGAAACATTTCGTTTTAGTCTTTTCAATTTTCAAAAAGGATGGAAAATAATCCTTTTAATGTTTATATCTTCATTGAACAATCATCAAAATAACCCTGTGGATGAAAAGAGTGGGCCATTGTTTATGCAGGAATGAAACAAGTGGAATTGCTCGCGGTGGGAATCAAGCCAAAGGCCTGCATTTTTACTCAGCTTGAAGGAATTATGTATACCTACTTTTATTAATACCACCATGCACTCAGTGAATGAATGAAACGTATTTTATTTAATGTGTAGGATACCAGGGCACAAAACTACTTTGATTTTAAGAACACCCAAAAAATTTTCATGCTAAAAAAGCCATTGCAATGAAAATCCTATGGCCTAATATAGAAGTTTAGTCACCGTAAAGATCAGAGGATAAAAAAAATCTTTGAAAAGTCATTTAATTCTTCTATTTTTTCCAGTAGTTCCTGCATACCAACTCCAGGAAGTTTTAGAGGATGTTCCCAGTGCTGTTGATATATTAAATACATTTGTTTTCCCTTTAAAGGCTATCAAGTTCTTTCCCAATAGTTTGAATCCCTTATATTCGTTCTAGAGCTTAAATAAATAATAACTGCTAGGGTTAATAACAAAAATAATATTAAAATGATCACGTTCATCAGAATACTAACACTTGTAGATGTATGATGACCATTATGAAAACAATATTAGTGATGGCAATGACATGATAATTGTAATAACATTACTAGGAAAACTGGTGAAACATATAATTGAGAATATTTAATGATTCTAAAAGATGCAATTTCTTTATATGGTATATCAATTGCATGAAAAATCATGAATTTAATATAATGTGTACTGCGAATGTGTAAGTACTTGCGTCAAATATTAAATGGTGTGGGGAAAAACATACCAAATCAATATATATATTTATATATTGCGCACATCTAACATTATTTACAAAAATATACATAGATACAATAGTTTGATCTGCTATGTATATGGTAGCAGATGAATAATAATACAGTATATACAGTCTATACATAATTTTTGTCATCATGTGACTAAACACTGCAAAAACAGCTTTCATTTGAATCATGCAATTTTATCATGGCAACACAGAAAATACTCAAGAATTTTCTCTTGAGATATAAATTCATTATTCACATAATAATCCCCTTTTTTATTTAAAATCAATTTCCAGGAGATTATTTATACAAGGACTAATTCTGTACAAAATTGTGTGCAGTATCTACCATCTCTCATTAAAGAAAACTGAAAATCTGAAACGACCATTCACAAAACAACCATTCACAGTTACAGGAAGTTACATGCTTCGAGTTTTTAACATATTTGTGAATCAGTACCACAAACTGTTCTTAGTATAAGATCATGCTAAAAGAGTTGATTGGACTGTTTTTGCCTTCTTTTATTTTTAATCGACTATACTATATTCATAATATCAATAAAGAGTTTAGTCTTTCGAATATGTTCACTATATAATTTAAAATGCTGAATGACTTATCAAAAAAAAAAAATATATATATATCAAATAGAATATCAACGTTACATTACACAATTACACACGCATACAAAACACATTTATACATATCTTCAGATTTCAGTCTTCGAAATTTCCTGCAGTAATCAACTATGAGGAAACGCTGCAGTAAAAGACACTATGCGTATTGAAAGTCAAACTACTATTGTAACACGCTGGTGAGGTAGTCTTGTTCACATACAATCGAAAGATTTGGCGGAGCAATACATCTTTTCAAGGAAGCAAAAAAATTCTTTCCCAAAGATCATAAACTGGAAATAGTCAACACATGGGACACCTTAGAATACATGGGGATGGGATGCACACTGAAATGGCAGGTAATAAAAATGGGGGGCATAACCGATGAAAAAAGGGAAATAGCCCCCTGATGACGCCTCTACCCAACACTTATTTTTGAAAAGAAGAGGGATACCATCACATTTAAATCACAAGTGAGTGTGCTACTCATATACAGGGGACAGATTATTGTAAATAACAATAAATACATTTAATGTAACAAGGATCACATAACAAGAGACTCTTCAGCAAACACGTTGTTAAACACTCAACATACGTATGCAAAATAAATTGTAGAACTGCAATTGAAATTAAAGGTATATGATATACATTTAAAGCACATTGTTTCCTCAAAACATAAAACAAAATATTGTGCTCTTTACAAAGGATAATTTCCTTTACCTGTACTGCATGTAACTGGATTAACTTTAAAGGAACATTTGATACACTATTTGGTACATGCAACCTCACTCTGAATCCAAGAAGATCACTTCATACCTGTGATACGTTCTCTTACAACCTCAACATTGTGGTCCTTTGGCTACATTTGCTCATCACTATCTCACAGAATGAGACAGTCAGTCCTATTGTTCTTTTAAAATGCCCAAAACTAGACTGATTTTGATATATTCTCAGTCTTTTAACTAAATTTTCTGTAGAATGATAAATAAATCAGTACAAAGACATTTAACAATTTTAACCTTCATTAATGGTGTGTGAATGATGAATATAATGTAATGAGTGAAAAAGGTAACTATTAACACAACATATAAAACTTTATGAACAATACAATTAGAACAGATAATAAGGTAAATCACATTTAATAATCATATGTTAGTCTGTGATCAAGTTAGCTGTTCTCTTTGACAGAATGAGAAAAAAACATTTTTTTACAAGCAGAATGAACAAATGAAAAAGAAATTTACAATTCCACTTTTCATCATACAGACTGTAAAGCTTAATACTGCTGGTGCAGCTATTTGTATTGAGAAAAATATACATATAAAGACCAAGTATAAGTGATTGGTAACATTCATACCTAAGACTATCCTTTAGATACTTGCCTTTTCCTCACCAACACTGGAGAACTTAAATAGAATCCAATACTGTAAATACTGACTTAATACTGCTTTAATTACTAGGCAGCCTTTTGGTTCTTTCATATGTAATTCTTAGAGTTTAAATGTTCCAATATCACACATGAAGCTTCGGACAAGATAAATATACAAGGTGTCCTGTAATGCATAAGACAGTTGAAGAGTCCATATTGATTTATCAGTGTGAGATCATTAAAATCAAAGAACAAAAGAAATGTGGAGGCGAGGCAGAAAGGGAAGGAGGCAGAAACAGAAACAGAAAGAGAAGTAGAGATAAGGAGGGAGAGAGGGAGAGAGGGAGAGAGGGAGAGAGGGGGAGGGAGAGAGGGAGAGAGGGAGAGAGGGAGAGAGGGAGAGAGGGAGGGAGGGAGGGAGGGAGGGAGGGAGGGAGGGAGGGAGAGGGAGGAGGGAGGGAGGGAGGGAGAGAGGAGAGAGAGGGAGAGAGAGGGAGAGAGAGGAGAGAGAGAGAGAGAGAGAGAGAGAGAGAGAGAGAGAGAGAGAGAGAGAGAGAGAGAGAGAGAGAGAGAGAGAGAGAGAGAGAGAGAGAGAGAGAGAGAGAGAGAGAGAGAGAGAGAGAGAGAGAGTGAAAAACAATGACACAAAATACTGACTGAACTCTCCAAGCAAACTTTACAATTAATTACAACACCAAGGCCCATCCCCCGCACCCCCCTCCCGTCCCGTTCCCCGACGCCCTCACACCTGCGACAGGTGCATTGTGGAGGAGCCCTGCGCCCGGCCGCCCAGGTGGAGGGGGTGCAGGTGGTGGGGGTTTCGCGCCGAAGAGGACGACCCTTGGGGCTGGGACTGGGGGGGCAGCAGGTGGTGCAGCTGCTCCAACTGCGGCCGCCCGTTCGTGGTCTTGACGATGGCGGGCGTGTGGTTGGGCGGGTGGTAGACGTGGCCGTCCTTCTTGCGCAGGTCCTGCCTCTGCCCGCACAGCCCCCGGAAGAACTTCTGCCACAGCAACACCTGCCGGATCGAGTGAAAGGATGATATGGCAATCCTTTAAAAAGAAATATATTCATGACTAGAATTTCTCGAATAAATAAATTAATAGAATAAATAAATAAACATGACTAGAATTTCTCGGAAAGTGGTGACTGATACACAATTATCCCGTTTACTTATATATACATTTTACACTAATCATCTTGTGACAGATAGATCATACCTGTCAAATGTACAAATTACTGAACTGAAAAGGTACTGTATAATCGTGTTTGAATGCACTGATTGCAAAAGAATATCATCCAATATCGGTAATCCTTCTTACACTCATAAACATACCTAACATACATTTTGAAATATGCTATTATTGTGAAAAATAATAAAATAAACAAAATTAGATCAAAATGAAAAGTTAAAAGAATTACTGAATAGTCACCCCCCGGACATAAGTCGCAATGGGTTTTACGCTTGTCAATAAGAAAGTCGACTTGTGTGTTGGGTAATACGGCAATTCAAATTTTAGTTCAAATACTAATACAAATATATACAAATTTTGCCTTAACAGCAATCCAAAGTCATCACTTTATCACACAGATATTATGGACTGATAAACAAAATTCTGGATAACAAACATTAGAAAAAAGAATGGTTCCTTTTGTGTCATCTGTATATATTTCATGTTGTACAATCTGAAATTAAACGAAGATGCACTCAAATATCTAAAAAAAGAAGAAAACAAAACAAAACATAACAGGGGCCTAAATATAAAAAATCTAAAACTTTGCACCATTATCACATAAAGAGTTGTGAGAAAAAAATTAAAATCACGTTTTAGTCTCTCAAAGTTTACGAAATCAAACATAAGACGTCAAGAAAAATAATAAAAACTAAATAGAAATAACCCACTTTTCCCTCCTAAGACCTAAAATCAAATGCTTTCCAATCTCCTTACCGTCTTTGAGGACCAAATCCACATGCCAGACGTGATGCCGACGACCAGTGACATGAAGATCTTTAGCATAAAAATCTCAACAGACGGAATGCTCTGCTCCAACGTGCACTCTGTGGGAAGGTGGAGGTTTCAGAATGGAATTTCACGAATAGCATTTGAGCTGTGAGGTATGAGGGGTGAGGCAGAATGGGAAAGAAGGGGGAAGAGGTAGAACTTTAACGAATAGCATTTGAGCTGTGAGGTATGAGGGGTGAGGCAGAATGCGAAAGAAGGGGGAAGAGGTAGAACTTAAACGAATAGCATTTGAGCTGTGAGGTATGAGAGGCGAGGCAGAATGGGAAAGAAGGAGAGGAGGTAGAACTTTAACGAATAGCATTTGAGCTATGAGGTATGAGGGTGAGGCAGAATGGGAAAGAAGGGGGAAGAGGTAGAACTTAAACGAATAGCATTTGAGCTGTGAGGTATGAGAGGCGAGGCAGAATGGGAAAGAAGGGAGAGGAGGTAGAACTTTAACGAATAGCATTTGAGCTGTGAGGTATGAGGGGCGAGGCAGAATGGGAAAGAAGGGGGAAGAGGTAGAACTTTAACGAATAGCATTTGAGCTGTGACGTATGAGGGGTGAGGCAGAATGGGAAAGAAGGGGAGGAGGTAGAACTTAAACGAATAGCATTTGAGCTGTGAGGTATGAGGGGTGAGGCAGAATGGGAAAGAAGGGGGAAGAGGTAGAACTTTAACGAATAGCATTTGAGCTGTGAGGTATGAGGGGCGAGGCAGAATGGGAAAGAAGGAGAGGAGGTAGAACTTTAACGAATAGCATTTGAGCTGTGAGGTATGAGAGGCGAGCAGAATGGGAAAGAAGGGAGAGGAGGTAGAACGTTAACGAATAGCATTTGAGCGAGGCAGAATGGGAAAGAAGGGGGAAGAGGTAGAACTTTAACGAATAGCATTTGAGCTGTGAGGTATGAGGGGTGAGGCAGAATGGGAAAGAAGGGGGAAGAGGTAGAACTATCTCATTTTTTTTAAGAGAAGGTGCCCATGCACATGATTGGTGTTGCTAATAATCTCAAATACAATGATGTTTTGACAGGTTGTACTTAAGGAATTAAGAGTAATCTCTGGAGTGCAACTTGAAAAGGAAGTATGGACAGAAAAAAACTTAGTTTGCTGGTTTTGCAGTAAAAATTATCAAGTGCAATGAACTTCTCAAATGAAAGAATACGAAATACAATCAGAACCAAATCACAATAAAGTGACAGCAACGGAAAATAATCAAAGTACCTGAAGCAGCAGTATTGATCGGATTGTGATACTGACGATAGGACAGACTTCCTCTGTGCAGCATGGCCGTCCCTCCGCTGCCGCCACTGCACTTCAGCGCGGCCACCGAAGCCATCTTCCTCCACTGATCTCGGCTCAGGTACTCGTACACATTGCAGGCGATCACACACACAGCCGGCACAGTGTACAGCACGGAGAAGACCCCGATGCGCACCATTAGCTTTTCGAGTTTGTTGATGTTTGTGGAGGTGGTGACAGCCTTGGTGGGCGTGCTGGGGCTGTCGTGCATGAAGGAGGGGTTGGTGGTGGAGGTGCTTGACACGGCCAGGGAACGACCTGAAAGGGAAACGGGTTGTATTGATGATGAGGAAAGGGCAGAGGATTCGTTCTCTCCCATTAAACTCTGAAGCTTCTCTCATGCTGTCTCGCATCCAATCTCTCTCGCGTTCTATCCTTCCTGCTCTCCCAATTTTTCCTTTCTCTTTCTCACTCCCTCCGTCGATCCTCTCCCCTGCTCTCTCTCTCTCTCTCATTCAATATATCTATCTCTCTACCTGTTAATCTTTTTATCTCTCACTCCCTCTCTTTGTTTTTCTTTCTTTGTTCCCTCATTCCTCTCTCTCTTCTCTCTCTCTCTCTCTCTCTCTCTCTTTTTCATTCCCTCATCCCTCTCTCTCTCTCTCTCTCTGTCTCAGTCATTCAAATACTTACTTTCTCCCTTTCCCTTCCCCGCCTTCCCCTGCACCCCCCCCTCCCTCACCCCAACCAACCTTTGGCTGGATGGCGACTGGGCCACCGAGGGGTTGTCCGCCTCCTGCTTGAATGCCCTGCGCACCCTGAACAGAGCCACGAAGCCCAGTACGTTAAAGAAGGTGCCAAGTGCCAGGAGCGAGAGCAGGGGTGCCACCACGAAGCTCATGTGGGCCCACTTGTTGACGTTCCCAACGTAGCATAGGCCTACAAGCTCATCGCCGTCAACCTGGGGAACAGATGTTGAAATTTTAGGAGACAAGACTGATGGGTGTTTGTGTGCGGAATGCAAAATGACAACAAGGAAAGGTATATATGCATTAAGGATTCTGTTTGGTTTCACTATCGTTTAATAATAAAATCCACACAGGATAATGTTATAGTATTAACATTAAATTCAATGTATAGATTAGTCATCTAGGTACAACTAAAGCTGTTGAAGTATTTCGTAAGGGAGCTAAAGTGGTCACAAAAAAAACACACACACACACACACACACACACACACACACACACACACACACACACACACACACACATACACACACACAGTACCTGCTTGAGCGTGAGGATGACGATCGTGGCCACGGCGGGGAGGCCCCAAGCAGCGGCATGGAAGTACGAGGAATACGCCTGCAGGGCCTCCGACGACCACTTCTTCCCCGCCGACAGGAACCACGTGAGGGTCAGCACCGCCCACCAAATCCCGGAGGCCATCCCGAAGTAGTACTGAGGAAACGAGGGTGTGAGGCGAGAATGAGGTAAGGGTGTGAGGTGAGAAAAAGAATACCAATAATTAAAGAAGTGAAACATGAAAAGAATGAGAGGAAGAGGAGGGTTGTTTTTGTTCTTTTTGGACCTTACCAATAATGTTTAACAATACTGTTTAACAATGCTTTTTCTCAACATAAATGTAAGAAAAAAAAGATATACTAGATCGTGGCCAACCGATCAGCTTGGGGGATGGGGGGAGAGTAAATGATCTGAGGTTATTGAGGAAATGGCTTACTCTATCTGTTGAGGACGAGAAAGAGTGTCTGTCTTGTCTGTTCCCTTTTTCTGCCAAAGATACCCGTCATATCCATTCAATACTGCTTTGTACTTATTTGACTGCTACGGCACTACAACAGCGTAGATTCTTTCGCCAAAAGGAAAAGTAGTGCAGTGCAGGCAATGTGTATATCAAGGTGCATATAACTAGGTAGCTCCACTTCCATTTTGCCTATTGAACATGAAAATTAAATCAACGTTTTCCCTAGAGTAGTCCGATGGCTGTTAATGGTAAGGAACTCTTCAATATCTTAAACAAAAGAGGGGAATTTTAGTTTTATTTCTTTTAAGTATAAGAATATCAAGTAAATTATACAAATAATTATTTATCTTGCTACATCTGATATCTCACAACCCACTCTAATTGCCTAAACATGTTGAAGCCATTAATTCCGACCCCTTTTCAAAGATTTTATGCAATAGTAAAAAATTATCAGAAAAGGAACAAAGAATAAAAGAAATTTAAATAATATTCAATATTTGCAATGAATAAAGGTGATAAAGCAGGGCTTAGCTCAGAAGTTGCCAACACGGATTTTCATCAAGATGGAGTGGGTCTACCTGGGCTAAGATACCTTGCTGTATACTTTACAGTTCCGGAAGGATCTTGATAACTATGAATGAAATCTAGTGTGCCTCATTTCACATTTAGTTTATAATAGATATAGTTGCTGGAAGTACACCGGAGGACCGAACTGCAGACAGGTATAACTTCAGATGGGCTTAATAAGAAGGACGAACCATTACATTCAGGAAGGCATCAGATCATAAAGCCATAAATTCAACAAAAACAAAACAAAACAAGTACACCTTCAGAAAAAAACACTTCAGAAAAAATACATCCCATGAAAGTCCTACAATCAACAAGACTCAACAAAGGCATAAACTTCGCAAGAATATTAATCTTCAGGAAAAAAGAGAACTCACCTGTAGAATGAAGGTGACGATGCACCCTGACGACTGGAGGCCCTCGACGATGAGATGCGAGACTCCTGAAGGCGACATCTGGCAGGACAAGACCTCCGCCGGGACCACGAGCCTGGGAAAGATTTTTAAATCAATTATGTGAACGCATGTAAAATTCTAATGATATTTAAGGAACCATTAGTTTGGCAACGGCTTTAAAACTAATAATGTGCAAATCCATGAAAATTATACATATATTTTAGGACCCATAAACAAAAACGAAGAAGAAAGAGAGAGAGAGAGAGAGAGAGAGAGAGAGAGAGAGAGAGAGAGAGAGAGAGAGAGAGAGAGAGAGAGAGAGAGAGAGAGAGAGAGAGAGAGAAACATATTTGCTAACAATTTGTATATGATATTAAATTGTGGAAGAATTCAAGATTCTTTATATATACATGTACAAAATAATGTGCTGAATAATCACTAGGAATCACTGATTTGGAAAATATTTAAATTTATTAGATTGATTTAAAAATCATTAGGGAGCTATCGAGGAAAAGAAACATTAATTGGAAAAACGCCAAGATTACCCTACAAATCCCATGATGAATACGAAATAAAAAGAAAATAAAGAGAAAAGGGAAGAAAAAGAAGAAGAAAAAAGGAAGAAAAGAAGAAAAATAGGATAGACAAGGTAAATATGAAGACAATAAAAAGGAAAATGCCTAGAAGAAGAAAAAGATCCTAAAAAGAGAGAGAGAAAAAAAAAAAATAATAAAAATAAAAACGACCCCATTTTCCTCTAACACCTCACCCAAACGCACACAACCCCCCACCCCCTCGCTAAAAACACTCACCTGGCAAGATAAGCGAGACAATAGAGCAGATAACAGAGCGACAGGCAGATGATCGGTCTCTCTGGGTATCGGAACCTTGCGGGGTCGAGCCAGAAAGTGAGCATCGTGAACAGGGTCGACACGAAGCAGATTCCGGCCCACACCAGGAGCCACACCTGAGGGGGAAACGGAGGTAGTTGAACGTTGGTGATCGTTTTCATTGTTTTTTTTTCTTCTTTGTATGGTGAGGTTTATATTGTTGTGTGTGGATGGTGTGAATTTGGTATTAAATCGGATTAATTGAATAATGCAGCCATACCTGAGGGGGAAACGGAGGTAGTTGAACGTTGGTGATTATTTTTATTTTTTTTTTCTTTGTATGATGAGATTGGTTTATATTGTTGTGTGTGGATGGTGTGAATTTGGTATTGAATCGGATTAATTGAATAATGCAGCCACACCTGAGGGGGAAACGGAGGTAGCTGTACGTTGATGATTGTTTTCATTGCTTTTAACGTTGGTGGTAGTTGAACGTTGGTGATTATTTTTATTGTTTTTTCTTTGTATGATGAGATTGGTTTATATTGGTGTGTATGGATGGTGTGGAGTATCGTTAAATCGGATAAATATAGTCATACGGAGGAAGTTAGGCAGTTTTTTTTTCTTTGTATGATGAGATTGTGTGAATTGTTGTATGGATAGTGTAAATCTGGTATTAGATCAGATTAATTGAGTAATGCAGCCACACCTGAGGGGGAAACGGAGGTAGTTGGGGGGGGGGGGGGGCGGCGGAGGTAGTTGGGAATTGATGATCGTTTTTTTCTTTCTTTGTATGATGAGATTGGTTTAAATTGTTGTATACAGATGGTGTGAAGTAGCATTAAATCGGATAAATATAGTCGCATGGTGGTAGTTGGGCATTAATTTAATATCATTAATTTAAATCAGATTAATGAGTAATGCAACCGCACCTGAGAGGGATACGGAGGTATTTGGACATTGATGATTGTTTCATTGTTTTCTTTTCTGTGTATGATGAGATTGGTTTAAATTGCTGTGTGTGGATGGTGTGAATCTGGTATTAAATCAGATTAAGTGAGTAATGCGGCCACACCTGAGGGGGAAACGGAGGTAGTTGAACGTTGATGATTGTTTTCATTGCTTTTAATGTATGATGAGATTGGTTTATATTTGTTGTGTGAAGTAGCATTAAATCGGATAAATATAGTCGCATGGTGGTAGTTGGGCATTAATTTAATATAATTAATTTAACAGATTAATGAGAAATGCAACCACACCTGAGAGGGATACGGAGGTATTTGGACATTGATGATTGTTTTCATTGTTTTTTTCTGTGTATGATGAGATTGGTTTAAATTGCTGTGTGTGGATGGTGTGAATCTGGTGTTAAATCAGATTAAGTGAGTAATGAGGCCATGCCTGAGGGGGAAACGGAGGTAGTTGAACGTTGGTGATTGTCTTCATTGCTTTTTATGTATGATGAGATTGGTTTATATTGTTGTGTATGGATGGTGTGGAGTATCGTTAAATCGGATAAATATAGTCGTATGGCGGTAGTTGGGCATTAATTTAATATAATTAATTTAACAGATTAATGAGTAATGCAACCGCACCTGAGAGGGATACGGAGGTATTTGGACATTGATGATTGTTTTCATTGTTTTCTTTTCTGTGTATGAGATTGGTTTAAATTGCTGTGTGTGGATGGTGTGAATTTGGTATTGAATCGGATTAATTGAGTAATGCAGCCATACCTGAGGGGGAAACGGAGGTAGTTGAACGTTGGTGATTATTTTTATTGTTTTTTTCTTTGTATGATGAGATTGGTTTATATTGTTGTGTGAAGTATCATTAAATCGGATAAATGTAGTCGTATGGAGGTAGTTGGGCATTGATGATTGTTTCTTTGATTTTTTTCTTTGTGTTATGAAATTGGTTTAAATTGTTGTGTATGAATGGTGTGAATTTGATATTAAATCAGATTAATCAGATTAATTGAGTAATTTCCCTGAGGGGGATACGGAGGTACTTGGACATTGATGGTTGTTTTCATTTATTCCTGTGCATGAGATTGGTTTAAATTGTTGTATACAGATGGTGTGAAGTATCATTAAATCAGATAGATATTGTGATATAGTCGTATGGAGGTAGTTGGGCAGTGATGATTGCTTCTTTGATTTTTTTCTTTGTATTATGAGATTGGATTAAATCGTTGTGTATGGATGGTGTGAATTATCATTAAATAAGATTAACTGAGTAACGTAGCCACATCTGAGGGGGAAACGGAGGTATTTGGACATTGAGGGTTATTTTAATTGATTTCTTTTGTATAATGAGATTGATATAAATTGTGTATGGATGATGTGAATTTCCATTTAGATAAATATGGTAATATAACCACACCTGAGGGGGATACGGAGGTATTTGAGAATAGATGATTGTTTTCATTAACGTTTTCCCCTTATATAATTGCGATTATGTAAATTTAACATCATTAAATCAGATTAATACACTATAACAAATACATACACAATAACAGACATAAACAACAGACTACACCAAGAACACCTGAACTGACCTCGGCGAAGTGCTTGTCCTCGCGGCGGAAGAGGACGTCGTGGCCGCACTTGGGGGTGCAGCTCCCCCCGTGACGCGTGGCCACCCACGTCTGGCGAGGGGGGCACGGGGCCTGGGGTGGAGGCGGGGGGAAGGGGAGAAAGAGGCGGGGGCGAGAGAGAGGGGGGGAGAGGAGGGGGGCAAGAGAGAATGGGAGAAAGGGGGGCGAGAGAAAGGGGGGGGAAGAGGAGGGGCAAGAGAGAGGGGGACAAGAGGAGGGGCAAGAGAGAGGGGGAGAAGAGGAGGGGCGAGAGAGAATGGGAGAAAAGGAGGGCAGAGAGAGGGGAAGAAGAGGAGGGGCGAGAGAGAATGGGAAAGAGGGGGGCAAGAAGAGAGGGGGAAGAGGGGGGCAAGAGAGAGGGGGAGAAGAGGAGGGGCGAGAGAAAGGGGGGAAGAGGAGGGGCAAGAGAGAGGGGGAGAAGAGGAGGGACAAGAGAGAGGGGGGGGAAGAGGAGGGCAAAGAGAGAGGGGAGAAGAGGGAGGGGCAACAGAGAGGGAGAAGAGAGGGCAAAAGGAGAGGGGAGAAGGAGGGGGAAAGAGGGGAGAGGGAGGAGGGGGAGAAGAGAGGGGAGAAGAGAGAGGGGGAAAAGGAGGAGCAATAGAGAGGGAAGAAAGGAGGGGCGAGAGAGAGGGGGAGAAGAGGAGGGGCAAGAGAGAGGGGAGAAGAGGAGTGAGACGAAGAGAGAAGATAAAGAGGAGGAGGTGAAGGGGGTGAAAGAAAGCACGAACGAAGGAGAGATATGGCGAGGAAAGATGAAGGGGGGTGAAAAGGAGAGAAGGAAGAGCGGCGAGTGAGAGGCGGCAGACGAAGGGGAGAAAGGGGAATGGGAAGATGGTGTAAATAGTAAAAGGATGAAGAGAGAATGGTGAAAAATAACATTAGTACCCGGGTAATATATCACATGAAGTAATTTATAAAAGAAGACATATACCTGATTAAATAGATGCATTTTTTTCTATTTTAAAGACATTCTTTATTTTCTAATAGATAATATGACAGATATAATTATTCCAATGTAAGAAAGCATGGGTGATCTGTTCAAATCCACAAGAAATGCTCGTTGTGTGTGTGTGTGTGTGTGTGTGTGTGTGTGTGTGTGTGTGTGTGTGTGTGTGTGTGTGTGTGTGTGTGTGTGTGTGTGTGTTGTGTGTGTGTGTGTGTCTGGTGTGTCTGCGTGTGTGTGTTGGTGTGCTGCGTATGTGTGCGTGTATGTGTATGTGTGCACGCCAAAAGACGCCCAGTTGTCCTCACCGGCCTCTTGATGGGCGGGCCGGAGGGGACCTTGGGGCGGCGCGATGAGGGCGGGGGCGTGGCCTCGGTGGAGAAGTTGGGCATCTCCATACACAGGCCGTTGCTCTCGGGCGTGGGCAGGCGGGCGCAGTCGAGGGCGGCCGGCCACGAGAAGTTGAAGGTCCGCAGCACCGGCAGGCACTTCGACTTGACCTGAATGAGAGTCGGGTACAGGGGCGGTTTCGTCGGGGGGGGGGGTGGTGGGGGAGTCTAGGGCGGGCAGGACCCCTTGCTCGCCCCCTCCCCCATCCCTCTCTTTTTCTTATTGTTTCTCTCTCTCGCTCTTTCTTTCTCTCGTTCTCTCTCTCGCTTCTTCTTTCTTTCGCGCTCTCTCTCTCTCTCTTACTCTTTCTCTATCTCTTTCTCTCGCTCTCTCTGTCTTCATCTCTCTCTCTCTCCCTCTCTCTTTCTTAATCTTTCTCTTCCTCTCTCTTTTTCATCTCTCTCTCTCAATCTTTCTTCTTTCTCTCTTTTCTTCCCTCCTCTCTTTCTCTCTCTCCTCTCC